AGCCCCCCCTTCCCTCCGGGCCCCCCCTGGTTTTTTTTTTTTTTTTTTTTTTTTTTACGAAAATTCTTGTACTACTTTGTGTTGTTCTTATGTCTATTTACTGGTATTATTGAAGTTTACAATTTGTGAATTATGCAGAAAATGGTGAGAAAAAATTCATACCCAGTAACGAGTTCGTTCTGCAGAAACATGCTGCATTTTTCGACCGGAATCATGACGGCGTCGTTTATCCTTGGGAGACTTTCAAAGGTTTTTATTCTTTCATGATCATATTTAATTGTAGTTTAATTTCTCTTTTATTTCATTTTTTTTATTTAAAGCTTTCATTAAATTTTCATTTCTCCAAACAGGATTTCGTGCAATTGGGAGTGGCATCCCATTGTCTAGCTTAGCTGCACTCTTCATCAATATTGGTCTCAGTGGCAAAACTCGACCTGTACCTGCCTTTGCTTTTATGATATTTATTTTATTTATTTTATTTTCCTTTCTGAGATCTTGTCGATAAATTTGGTCTCTAATATATTACGCGTTTAGTTCATTCGAGTTTTTAATTAAGTTGAGATGTTTAGTTTGTTGATTTAAATTTTTAATTTGTATTGGAACGTAATTTTATATAAAAACTTTTTTACTCTAATAAAAAGTGATGTGATTATTTCTAAAAAAAATTTCTAAATTGATGAAATGAACGAGATTTTATTATAATAAAATTTAAATTTTAAATTTAAATCGATAAAATGAACAATATTTATATTTATCGTGCTCTCTTAAACTTAGCCTAAATTTTACATTTGATTGAAACACTTTACTAACCATAAGCTGTCATCTATGACACTTTTTTTTTTTTTAAATTATTGGGCACCACAAATAGGAGAAATGTCCCAACCTACTTTTCCCCATTGAGATTCGAAACATACACCGGGGAAAACATGGGAGTGACACTGGTGCCTACGACAGCGAAGGAAGGTACATGTCATATTTTATTTGTTTTTTTTTTTTTTTTCCCTGAAAGCATATAGAATAATTTTCAAAAATATAATCAATAAAATAATACTATTTTATTTATATTACTATTGTTAAATTTATCTTTTATTTATAACACTATTTTATTTACGTCACTGTTTATTTTTTTGTTCATGTCATTATTGTTAAATTTATTTTATGTGATTAATAATTTATAAGTTATTTTTGCATTAAAATTTTGTATAGTTGAAAAAAATAATAGTTTAACTGAAATTTTCTTTATTATTTCTTTTTACGTCAAGATTTTAAGTATATGCAATGAATAATATTGTTATTGGGTACCCTGGGGTAAGAATCACCTATCAATAAAAGATAGATCTCATGCCTTTATTTTTGGGACCGTTTGTAAAAGCAGATTTTTACTTCTTGATTGATTCTTTTTTCTTCTAAAAAAAAAAAAGCGCAAAGAATAATTATGTTTGTAGAAAATGATATATGTTTGTTCTTTTATTAAAATGGATATTTTATGTAATCCCTAAGTCGAGTAATTACGAAAATCATATAGACCAATCTAACGATCAAAATTTAAGTAGTTTTAAAATTAAAATACACATAGTTAATATTTCATCCGACAAAAGAATTTCCCCTTTTTCTGGAGAAATAAAATTTTCACTTTAATTGTATTCTTAAACGTTTTCCGCATAGTACATTGTTACAGCTTGATTTATTCACTGCATTTCAATGTTTTTAGGTTTGTTCCATCAAAGTTTGAAGAGATATTTATCAAGCATGCACACACAAATCCTGACGCATTAACAAAAAAAGAACTAAGGGAGCTCTTAACGGACAATAGACAACCCAAGGACATTGGTGGATGGTGGGATTCCTTTTTCTCTTTTTTTTTTTTTTTCCTTTTAATTTTCTCTTTTTGATTTTGAATATCAAAATATGTAACTTGTGCCATCTTTTCTTTACCTTTTGTCTACATAAACATGAAATTAACAAACAAAAAAAATGTCAAAATTGAAATATCGCAGGATCGGTGCCTTGGCCGAGTGGCTTGTACTATTCAATATCGCCAAGGACAAGAATGGGTTGCTTCAAAAGGACACAGTCAGAGCTGTTTATGATGGAAGTTTGTTTGAACAATTGGAAAAAGAACACTCAGCATCCAAAAAGAAAGAGTAATTTCAAGATTACCATCTTTTCAAAGATGCGCTCATTTCTTGCTTCTTAAATATATAGGGATAAAATTTCTTTCAAAAAACAAAAAATAAAAATAAAAATAAACAGAGAAATTGTTTTATGTATGTGGAAAATATGTGCAAAATCGACATTACGTGTATTAAAGAAATGAGAAATTGTTTTACATTTTGTACTAAATTTGTTTCATGCAGTTCTTCTGCCGTTTAAAGAAAAAGCCATGGTGGTGGGATGCATACGGTATGGTACATGTCGTTGGTCCTACTCCGTTATTGGCGTTTAATATGAATGTATTTAATTTATGAATGTATGTAATTTTTCATATTTGTATGAAGCACCAACTGTTAGTTAATGTCTGTTATATAGATTATGTCCTGTATTAGTGAGTAGTTATTGGAATTTCATTCATCGATTTTTGCAAGTATTAACAACAACCAAAGCCTGATATATTAAAAGCCTAAATATTAGTCCCGTTTTTTTTCCTTGAAGCAACATGCAATGTTTGAGATATTATATGAATGAATTGAAGGTCATCACCGCCGAATGATTGGGTTTTTATCAATTAAAAAAAGGTGGGTTAAATTTATAAGAGAGTGTTTGGTATGAAGATTCGTGCTATAATTTGAATCATGATTTGTGATTTATTTAAAAAAAATATATATGTAAATTGAAAATGATTTTGAATTATGATTTTAAATTCGTGAACTAAACGTTTATTAAGTTCCACGCGGTAGGATTTACATTCTATTTCTATTAGTGAGTGGTGTTTAAATTAGTGGGTGGTGTTACTATTGGTATTTAATAACGTTACTCTTAAAATATTGATATTTAATAAGGTTACTCTTAAAATATGTTATTTCTCGTGTATGGTTTGAGAGGACCGAAAGGGTAACGGGAGAAAAGAAAGAAATGCAAATAGCGCAAGTGTACATTATTTATAGTGGGTAATAATGGTGACCGTCTCGTGTAAAGTTCTAAAAGAAAAATGCTGATGCTAAGAGATAAGCATCAAAACTAATAAAGGTCCCGTTCATTTCGTCGATTCGAGTTTAGAATTCGAGTTTTGCTACAGTAAAAAGCTCTCACATAAAATCACATCTCAACTCGAATTACAAACTCGAGTCAGTGAAGTGAACGGGCCAAAGCACCCTTTGTCATGCGATCCATCTTCTATTACGTGTCATTTTTCAAAATAACGTTAAATTTTGAAATTAGTAATTTCGTATAAAGTGTACAGCATCAGCAATAGCTTCCTCAACAAATTATTCTACCAGAAACCGGCATCTTTTTTTTTTATGGAATTTTAATATCACACAAGGTCACCCAATGTCCCTTGCTTCTCCATCTTTTTTTTTCTTTCTCCATGATGTTAACGCATAGTCATTCAACTGCCCAATATATATATATTGTCAAACTCTAAGCTCTGATGGTATGTTTTGGTCTGTTTTATCTTACTTTCTTTTCACTTTTTTCGGTGAAGACGATAACGTTAGCTAATTCTTATCATGTTTTTATAGTTACTTTTGGTGACACAAGAAGGAAGCTTACTTTCACTTCATTTTTTAGAAGGTTTTATTGAATTTGGATGTACGTGTTACTTTCTTTGTACCCAACGACCTAAGTCTAATTTCCGTCTAGGTAATTTTGATAAATACTCTTTAAAAGTACACGAGTCAGGATTTTTACTTTTTATTTTTGATTTATAACTTTTTTAGTCAAATAATTACATTAACAAAAGAGTATTTATCAAGAGTAAGGGATAAAGGTCCATACTCATAAACTCTTAAGGATAAATTTTATATTTTTTCGATAAGCTATGTTCGTGGACAATTATGGCTTGTGGAACAAATTGAAAATGCGGAAGTATTTATACAAAATCATCACTTTTATACTTTCACGTTCAAAATTTATCTTTTATTTAATAATATTACTCACATATTCTTTTTTTGTGTTGGTGGTTATGGAGTGGTTAACAAAGAATAAGAATGTCATTGCGGGTTATGTTACATACTTATGTGTAAATATTACAATTTGTGGACATTTATTTTTCAACTCATGCATAATAGACATATATGTAATTAACTAATGCGTCCCTTCATCCTTATCCGAAATTGGATTTTAGTTCCGGTGTCTCATATCGGATCGTTTGCATTATTTGGCACGATTATTCGTTGGTATGTGAAGTGGTACATTGGGTTTGGGTTTTTTTTTTTTTTTTTTTTTTTTTTTTTTTTTTTGTT